AAATTTTCACAATTGGGGCTTTGGGCATCGGTTTGAATTATTGGAAAGGTTTGGGAGCCGGCTATGGAATTTTAGAGCGAGGTAAGTCTCCTTTCTAACCTTGTAAGAGGGAATTAACCCTATAGGTGAACTAAATTATTATGTGCTTCTATTTGTGGGGGGCTACGTACGCACGAGGTGACGAGAGTCCGAACGTAGCTACTAGTTATGCCTATGTACAGGTTGTTTTAAGCTTACATCATGCCTTGTTGATATTGTTATTGATTTATGTTTATTGTTTGCCTTGAGAGGGAGTGAGATTGAGTTGCTTATTAAATGTTTTAAAAGGAGCTGAAATTGAGGAAAAGTTGGGATCTTAAAAGTTTTCATTTGAACTTCGTCTTTTGAAAAGAATGAAAGAATACTATAATAGCTTAAGAAATCTATGTGTGGCCGCGTCGCAAGTATGATCCACGAGCGGGGTAATTCCATAAATTTATATTTGACCGCGTCGCATGTATGATTCGCGAGCGCGGTAATAGATGCATCGATGGTTCGCGCCGTTCGACCCTCGGCAGTGCACATTTTACATTTATGTTGGATCGGGCCAAACATCCTTGTTGGAATTCGTGTGTGATAATAGAACTGGAAGTCCCTTTTATAATTGGTATAGATTCATTGTTTGTGTGATCATATGTTTTAACGGAAGGAAGTGACTTAGGTTCTTAAATATGGGGAAGATTTATTCAGTTATTTTTTGTTCTGAGTCTTATTGTTGTATATCATGTTTTATTAGAATTTCATATTATCATATTATTAGACCATTAGTAAGTGTCGGAGTCGACCTCTCGTCACTATTTCTTCAATGTTAGACCGGATACTTACTGGGTATGCGTTGTTTTCGTACTCATACTGCACTTGTTGTACATTTTATTGTACAGGAACATGTGTGTTCAATGGCCTTATAGGGCAGCGGCGCGGTTGATGCGGGGACTTAGGTGAACTGCATCTTATGAGATGATCCGCAGTCAGCAGAGTCTCCTTCAAAGTACTTGTATTCTCTTTCCTGTCCAAATTTATATTCCAGACAGTTGTTGTATTTTATTTTATTTCCTAGTAAATGCTCATGCACTTGTGACACCGGGTTCTGGGATGATTATGGGATATTCAGTACTGGAATTGGAAAACATTTTTAATTGTTCTGTAAAGTTCACCTTTTACTAGTTAAATTGGAAGAAATTTATGATTTTGAATATATATTAAAATGAGAACTTAATTAACTATTTGGTGTTGGCTTGCTTGACAGTGGTGTCCGGCGCCATCACCACCTTTAATGGTTTTTGGGTCGTGACATAAAGCGTATAATTGGCTCTACAAAGAAATCCATAAATCACTCCCTAGATTGAACAAGACTACTATTTCGCTTTGCACACACATGGGGCAAGTTCTAGACATCAACTGACATGCACAGAATATCAACAAAATCTCACATACACATGGCACATAACTCACTCAGGATCAGATCTATCCCGACTTTTTAGTCAAGGCAGTTAAGCAAAGTCACAATTAACCACTTTAAGGCATTTACCTATGAGTCAAGAACTGAGCCTAGAAGTCACAACTAGGGCACTCACTACTCTTATGGCACAACAACGTCAAGAAAAGTTATCTCTATTTAATACATAGCACAAGACTTCACTATTCCTAATAAAAGAAAAACTATATATATATATTTACATCCCCCACCCATACTTTAAATTGTGGCATGTCCCCGTGACACACAAATAAAAAGCAAGAGGTAAAGGAAACTTTCCTGATTTATCTAGTCGGGATCTCCCTTGCATGCCCGACCCAGTGCACACATCAATGATGAGGGCTTATTCTCAGCCTTATTTGGGTACACCCCACACTTCTCCATTTGACTCTCTTCAAGTTGCTCCTTTAAGCCATCTCTTTCCCCTTCCATCTTGAAGATCAACCTTTCTCCCCCCATTCTGAGCACGAGTTGCCTTTCCTGAATATCCAGAATTGCTCTGTCCGTAACCAAAAAGGGTCTTCCTCAAATAAGCGGGACCTCCCTATTCTCCTCCATATTCATCATAATGAAATCCACAGGGAACACAAACTTGTCCACCCGAACTAGCACATTTTCCACTATTCCTTCAGGTATAATTGTGGCCTGATCCACTAGCTGTAATGACACAGGCAGTGTCCTGATTTCTCCAATCTCGCCCTCTAATTTCCTAAAAATAAACAAAGGCATAAAATTAATGGAAGCACCTGAATCACACAAAGGTTTCTTAAACTTAGCACTTCTTAAAGAGCAAGGTGTAGTAAAACTCTATGGATCTCTACATTTTTTAGGGAGCTTATTTTGCAAAATGGCATTACAATGCTCTGTGAACTTGACCACTAACATCTCTTCCTCCTTTCGCTTCTTGGAGAATATTTCTTTCGAAAATTTAGCATAAGCCGGCATCTGTGAAAGCACCTCTGTGAAAAGTATATTCACATGCACCTACTTGAGCACTTCTTGAAAGCACCCGAATTATTTGTCCAGCTTTTCTCTTCTTTGATTCTGGGGGAAGGGTAGAGCAGACATGTATATGCTCTTCTCAGTCTCCTCATTCATTCTTTGTTTGTTTTTCTTCTTCCTTGTTGGAACTTTAGATTTATTTTTCTTCTTCAGATCATCCTCTTGCTCTGCCCTCACATCATTCTTAACTTGATTTCCCGTCAACTCATTCTTCTCAGCTACCAATGGATCTTGCAATACTTTTCCATTCCTCTGCAATACTACAATCTGCCCTATGTTTTGAAAAACAAACTAGCAATCTGCCCTACTTGCCTCCTTAAGTTTCGAATAGTTGCACCATGCGTTGCCAATCTCTCATCCGTTTTAATAATGAAAGCTTCATTATCTCTTCCATTCTAGGCTGATTAGAATGTGGAGGCTGGTATTGCTGCCTCTACTGATTCTGAATTCCTGGAGCTCCTTGTCCCTGGGGTCTCGGATTATTCTCCTACCATGAGTTCAGGCTACCACTTGGTGAATTCCAAGATGCCTCTGTCCCATAGAATTAAAATTATTACCACTCTGGTAGTTGCCTCTGTCAAAGCTTCCCACAACATTTACCATTTCATATGCAGTTGTGGCCTAACACTCATATGTTGGATGACCCATTCCACAGAAATTACAAACAAATGAGGTTGGCTTTAGACCTTGGCTAAGGTCAACTTTCTTATCTCTTTGGCCATGGCGTCTAGGTGGGCTTGCACTGATGTGTTGGAATCAACTTGATGAACCCTAGTTGATTTTCTTCTATTATTATTCTCAGCAGGCCACTGGTTAGCATCTTCAGAGAGGTCATCAAGAATTGCCACAATCTCCTCAGGAGTTTTCTTCATTAAAGGACCTCCAACTGCAATGTTCATAGTTCGTCGTGATGAAGGTGTCAGTCCATCCCAAAAGTCCTGAAGTTGCATCCACAATTCAATCCCATTATGCTGACACTTCATCACTATCTCTTTGAATCTTTCCATCTGTCTGGAAGAAATTATGGATTTCCCTTCTAAATTTCACTATTTTTGCAGTTGAGAAGTATTTTTCAAGAAATTTTCTAGTCATATCTTCTCATGTCCTGATCAAACTTGTTCGTAAGCTATGAAGCTAGTGCTCCGCGTCATCCTTTAGTGAAAAGGGAAAAGCCCTTAAGTATACTGCATATTTTGACACTCTGTTGTACTGGAAGGTGTCCATGATTTCCTCAAAATCTATCAAGTGAGTGTTAGGGTCTTCATTCACCTTCCCTCTGAAGACACGGTTGTTATGGATAATTTGAAGCAAGTCTTTCTTTCAACTCGAAATTATTTGTTGCTACTGGTGGAGGTCTGACAATGGACAATCCTTGATTATAGACTGGTTTGGCATAATCACCCAATGCTCGACCAGGTCTGGGTACCGCATTCTCGAACTGGTCTTCAACCAAATATCAATTTAGATTGAATCTTCGACCCCCATCATCTTTGATGGTCTCATCAGCAACTCTACGGGCTGTCTCAACTACTATCCGTGCAGCTTCTTCTCTTTACTGTGTTGCCTCTCTTGTAGCTAAATCTACCCCATCATCACCGTTATTAGCCATGTGTTCTTGGGTTGAAGGTTGCCCCAAGAACTTCCCGGTGAGCTCTTTTTCTTTCCTCAGTTGTCGTTTTTTCCAACTTCTCTTTGTAGGGTATTACTTCTTTTTTAGGAAGATCGAGTCATACGCCACGAACTTAACTTATTGCATGCGCACGGAAGAGAAACCCATAGGAATAAAATAAAATGAATTCCCAAAATAGTACCAAAAACTATTTTGAACACTATCGATTGCCAATCCACAGCAACGATGCAAAAATTTAACGAGCGCAAAACACAACACAAAATTGATGTTCACTAGCCAAGGATATTATAGTTTAATTATCGTCTCCATAAGGATTGGATTAAAACACTACTCTAGTAATTTCTGGTTTAAATGCTATTTAGGATGATCAAAACTTAATTTGGACTGATTATGAACTACGATTAACTACTAAAGTAAAGCGATTGACAATTAACTGCAAAGAACTAGAGATTAGTAGAGTCGGTTTCTTATCAGTGTGGGGAATAAGGATTTTGACATGATAGGTTCAAGGTTGTTATTCTGGATATAATACTATTATATTTTATTCTTGAGGTTCTATTGATTCTCACGAATTCAATAGGTAATTAGCTTATGGTTTCGATTTGGACTCCTCTCTCGACTAAATCTAAATATTTCAAATAAACAAATGTGAAGTGCAGTGAAACTTGTAAGAATCTATTGTCAAGAATGGTCTAAGAGAAACTTCTATCGAATATTTCTCAATCTTAATTTAAGAGGTAGATCACAAAGCTCTTTCGATTACTTTTAAAAAGTACCAAAATAAATTAAGGCATGCGTTGCTACAATATTCAATATTATGCTCCTCTTCTAATTAACCAAGATAATGAATAAAATCACAACTAGAGTTAAAACTCTTCCGATAAATTCAAGCAATTAAGCAGTACTCAAATCCATAAACAATAACAAAGTCACCAATTCATGTCAAACCCTAAGGTAAACTACTCCATAATTTTGGAGGAAGTCATTACAAAAAGAGTTAAAGAATAAGAAAGCATCAATCTAACGTTACAATCCAAACTCCGTATTGAATTGATGAAATCCCGTGCCTTGTAGCCTCCAATGCTCTCCCAAAGCTTCTAAGATTAAAAGTCCAATTAAAAACGTGTTTCTAGTGTATTTATACCAAGTAGGAACGAATCCGGACGAAACTACCCTCTTTGAGCCGAAATGGGAAAACCTACAAACTTTTTACACTTCATGCGTCGCACTATGCTACGTAGGGTGCGTAGTATTAGTGCAATTTGCTCGGTTGTAAACTCTCTGAACTTAGCTTATCTGACAAAATTTTGTACTGATGCTACGCACTATGCCACGCACTATGCGTAGTATTAGTGTATTTTTCTGTCAGACCCAAAAACTATTAGTCTCTGAACTTCTCAAATTTTTTACGCACATTTGCACTTATGCGTCGCACTGTGCTACGCATGATGCGAAGCATTAGTACAAATGTCATAACCCTTGCTCTTTCTTCCAACTTTTGTGTGCAACATCGAGCCTCCGACGCAATCCCGATTTAATTCTTTGGCTTTTACTCAGACTTCAAAGCTCCAGATTATTCTATTTAGATCCAATTTATCTTTTTAACTCAGAATCATTTCCTGTAAGGTATGAAACACGTTATAAGTGCAAATCACCATCATTTAAGCTCAAACATGCTCAAAGTGCAATAATTAGAGTGCAAAATGCAGCTAAAATACGTGTTCCTAGCCTACCATCAATAACCAATGAATAACTAATGGGTTTAACTTTTATATTTATAAAGCCTCAAATTGGAGGTTCCTCGAGTTTGGGAGACTATCAGTTCTCCCAAAAGTGATCATATTCAAGAAGTCATTCTCTACCGGTTGACCCGTTTTTTATCCATATTAAATATGGATCGGGTCGGATATTTTATCCGCTTTCGACCCATCTCATATCCGATCCGATCCGCCTGTTTGCCACCCCTACATATAGTTGTCCACCTGCCTGTAGTAACTCCATCTCTAGATGCGCATAAGCATCTCCGTTCTAACTTAGAAGTCTTTAACTTACACACACATTATAGAATTAGAAGCTCAATTTACCTTTCAAGTCCTGCAAGCGCACTATTACAAGAATAAAAGTGAACATACAAAAACAGTTTCGGCGTAAAGTCAACATATCGGAAACAGAAAATGAACAAAATAGGTATAATCAATAACCTACTTACCAGAAGTACCCGCCAGCTAGCGCATGTTGCAAGACCAAAGACAACATAACAGAGGTTTTTATGCCACAAGAGCCTCAATTACAGGAGCAGCTACCATAGGAACGGCATATTCTTATTCCTCCTTGGGTTGATGAATAGTCACCAGATCTGGCAACGGTCATAGACCCTTTTTTATCCTTAGGATCACAGTTTAGCATGATCTTGACTTTGATACCGAGCACACCTTATAAATTAAATAGACAACAAAGTAAAGTAGCACTCATGGTTACTAACAACTGCAACACAAGAATCACAGTATGTCAAAAGACTAGTTAATATATGTAGACATGAGACTAACCTGCCTAAGTACAGCTGAATCAATGTACTCTTTAACGGTATGCCCAGAAGAAATCATGCATCCACCCTTAAACTTCATGGACTTGGCACGCTGAGCACGGAGCTTTCCACTAACAATTACCTAGAGAAAAAAAAAGAACTTGCATAAACTCTTCAAAGAACATTTACTTGGAGAGATGTAGAGAAGAAAAATGACTCCCAACAAACCTCATATCCCTTTGCTCCACTCTACGTGACAAATCTTAAAACACCATAGCAAGTCGTACATCACGATAATAGATAAGTTGAAGAACAAAAAAGAGTTATACAAAAAGGTTGGAAACCTCTAGGGAATTTGATCATGACATGGAAATTACACTCCATGGAGAAAATTACCTCAAGTTGAGGAAAAACCATAGCAACAAAAATATTTCACTAACATATAGTAATATAATTTACCCATATTTTACATGATAAAATCTGCTTTCAACAGCTAAGATGCATGGTGACCTTAAAATCTGTGTAACTTTAAATAAAATGAAATACCATCTCACCCATGGTCAAGATGAAGATGCATGTATATTATAGACCATGTTGTTAGAGCCCAAACAAATGTATACATCTATTCAAGATGAAGATGCATGCATATTGTACACCATGTTGTCAAGAGACCAAACAAATGGACCACAATATTGGAAGATGTTTTGTGACTATACAATTTTTATTAATTACATCTTCTTTGTCAAAAAAGAATTCTTTCCTCACAAGTATGTATGGCAACAGAAATTTCCCCACATTTAAATTCATCAAAATTGGAAATCAGAAACAAATATATTCCTCTGATTCCTAAACAGATGGGATCAAATGTCGTCACCCTCAGACACCAGAAAGGTACTAGCAGATACCAACTCTCTGTAAAGATGCCTTTCAAGTCAGAGAGCAAAGAAAAGTTAAGGCATGGAACAATGTGCAACCAAGCAACAGACCTTCGGACAACAAGTCCTCCAAGTAGCTTGTATCGCAGTGATTCTGCCTGAGCAATGGCATAGAGATTGTTAGATTCATGCGCAGAAGAAGAGATCAAAAGATTCACAATTGGAAAAATAGCTCAACTAATTGATCTGGGCATTAACAGCCGACTATATACAACCATAACTAACAATTAGGTACTAAGTATCTAAATTAACTCTAACATACCACAACTTATAATATGTACACTTAGGCCTCATATCTCTAACTAACTAACTAACTTCTATATACACCACTCCCCCTTAAGCTGAAGGGTGTAAAATGTTTAACACAACAAGCTTGCCAAGTAGAAATTGATGCTGAGGTGAGGCCAGTCCTTTTGTGAGTATGTCTGCTTGTTGATTTCTTGTAGATATGTATTGTGTTTGCAAGATCCCTTATTTGAGCTTCTCCCTGATGAAGTGACAATCTATTTCAATGTGTTTTGTGCGCTCATGAAAAATGGGATTAGCTGCTATTTGGATTGTTGCTTTACTGTCTGAAAATAGGATAACTGGTTGATGAATTGGAGTCCCTAGTTCTGCAAACAGCCCTCTCAACCACACTATCTCAGCTACTGCAGATGTCATACTTCTGTATTCAGCTTCAGCACTGCTTCGAGAAACTGTGTGTTGCTTCTTCGACCTCCAAGAAATTAAGGAATCACCAAACTTAATAAGGTAACCACTGACAGACCTTCGGCTTATTGGACATGCTACCCAGTCTGAATCATAGAAGCCAATCAAGGCATCAGCTGGTCCTCTTTTTATGATCACTCCCATACCTTGTGCCTATTTTAGGTATCTCACTACACAAGTTGTTGCATCCATGTGAGATCTTTTGGGAGTCTGCATGAATTGACTCAAAATCTGTACTGCATAACTGATGTCTGGTCTGGTGACCGTAAGGTATAAGATTTTTCCAATCAGCTTTTGATAGCTTGTGACATCTATCAAAGGATCAGACACTTTACTTCCAATCCCCTTATCATACTCAAGCGAACTAAGCTTCTGATTGAGTTCTAGGGGTGTAACAACAAGTTTTGCTCCACTTAAGCTCATCTCTGAGATGAGCCCTAGGGTATATTTTCTCTGATTAAGAAGAATTACTTGCTTGGACCTCAAAACTTCAATCCCCATAAAGTATCTCAGTTCACCTTAAATTTCTGATGCAGTATTGACTTGGCTTTATTAATGAGTTCTGTACTGCTTCCAGTTAATAGTAAATCATCCACATAAATTAAGATAATGACAATCTCATTCCCAGACTTCTTAGTGAATAAGGAGTAGTCATAAACACTCTGGCTAAAGCTTGCACTAAGTAAGGCCTCTGTAAGTCTAAGATTTCATGGCATTGATGCCTGTTTGAGTCCATATAGGGATTTTAACAGCCTACAAACTTTTTTCTCACCTGTCTTTGAAAACCTTGAGGCAAGTCCATATATACTTCCTCGTCTAGGTCTCCTTGTAAGATTGAATACATCCATTTGATAGAGGCCCCAGTCTTTAGAAGTAGCTAATGCTATTACTAACCAGACTGTCACCAACTTTGCCACTAGTGAAAAAGTTTCATAATAATCTAGGCCCTCTTGTTGATTATATCCCTTAGCAAGCAAGCGAGCATTAAATCTTTCCACCTCTCCATTGGCTTTGTACTTGATCTTGTAAATCCATTTTGACCCTATAGGTGATTTCCCAGGAGGCAAATCCACCACTTCTCATGTCTTGTTGCCCTCCAATGCCTTAATCTCTTATTTCATGGCCTGAATCCATCTATCATCCTACATTGCTTCTCTAAAGTTTTGTGGTTCTTTGGTTATGGCGAAGGCCCTTATGTAGTCTTTATACTTCTTTGTGACACAATCATAGGACAAGAAGTTGGAAATAGGATAAAGACAATGTGAGTCTTGTTTAGTGGCAACAAGATAGTCTTGTATCCAGATTGGAGGGTGTTTGGTTCTAGTTAATTATCTGTTGAGCATAGTGGGATGTGGTGCTGAAGCAATCTGTTCCTGCAATGTTGGAGCATCCCTGCCTGGTGGATTTGCCTGGGCAGCTATATCTGGTGCAACTGTGTGATCAGTTGTTGGGGCTGGCACTTCTAATGGGTCATAAGTATCAGGTACATCTTCATAAGTATCTGAATCAGATGCTACTTGATCTTGTGCATCTTGATCTGCTGTGCCAGGTGAATCTGTATCTGCATGCCCCTCAGATTCAGTGGTATCTGTTGACTACATGGTATGCAGTTCTCCTTAGTGTTGGGATTCAAACATATCTGCAATGGGTTCTGAAACTTGTTGATGATGTGCTGTGATAAAAGGAAACACAGATTCCCTGAACAAAACATCCCTGCTAACAAAGAAAGAGTTAGTAGTCCTGTCAAATAGTCTATACCCCTTATGAGTAGTGGAGTAGCCCATTAGGACAGCTTCCTTAGCTCTTGGCCCAAACTTGTCTTCCTTAGCCATATTTGTAGCATAACATAGGCATCCAAAGGTTCTGAGATGTGCTAATGAAGGTGGTCTGCCATACAACAATTCAAAAGGGCCTTTCCCTCCTAGTACTCTAGTAGGGAGTCTGTTTATAAGATAAACAGTTGTTTGAACACATTCTCCCCAAAATTTGCTTGGTATCCCAGCCTGGAATTTCAGTGCTCTGGCAGTGTCTAAGATGTGCCTGTGTTTTCTCTCAGCCACCTCATTTTGTTGTGGGGTGTGCACACAGCTACTCTGATAGATTACTCCATGACCCCGTAGGAACTCACTCCACTGATGATTAAAAACTCTCTACCATTGTCTATTCTAATCACTTTAATGCATGTGTTGAACTGTCTTAACCATACAGAAAAACTGCTTCAAGAAAATGATGGTTTCACTTTTCAACTACATTAGAAAAATCCAAGTTGCTCTAATGTAATCATCTACCACTGTAAGGAAGTAATGTTTATTGTCATGTGTAGAAACTTTATAAGGTCCCCATACATCCATGGAAACAAGTTGAAATAGTTTTGTACTTAGGTGCTCACTAACAGGAAAAAACAATCTACATTATTTAGCCAAGGGAAAAATGGAGCACTTATTATGTATTGCATTGTCTACTTTATTATGCAAGAAAGAAATATGTTTCATCACTGGTAATGAAGGATGTCCTAATCTCCTGTGCCAAAGGTCTCCTGAAACTTCATTCTTCTGCAATGTGCTGATAAGAGCAGCTGCTAACTGTCTTGTTCCTCTTCCCCTCAGCAAATAAAGTCCACCAGTTTCCTTACCAATCCCCTTCACCCTGCCACTGTAAAGGTCCTGAAAGCCACACAGTTTGGGCAGGAAAAGAGCACCACATTGTATGACCCTGGTTAGTTTTGAGACAAACATTAGGTTGAACTTAAAGTCGGGAACATACAATACATTTTCTAGTTTGTTATCTGTGATAATTGTGTGCTACAAATGTGAGTAACATCAGTACTATCTCCATTTGGCAGTCTCATTTCTCTCTTTTACAATTGTCCACACTTTTAACATCATTCAACAATCCTAGCGAGGATGTTATGTGATGTGTGGCCCCAGAATTCACTATCCAGCTATCATTATAGACATTTGATGCAAGAGACAGAATATTACCTGCCATATTGGCTTGTGTTTGATTGTCATTGTGTGCATCCTTGCTGAGCAAGTGCAGAATCCGTTGATATTGTGCCTCAGTGAAGAAAAAATCTCCTCCTTTCTGTTGTGATGTTCTCCGAGAATTAGATGTTTTTGCTGGCCCTTCTACATTGTTAACTGCAGTAAAAGCTTCTTTAGGTCTATAATCTCTCTCTTGATGCCCTTTCTTTACTCTGAAATCTTAAGGATATATAATAATTTTGAAGCAGTTTTCTTTAGTGTGACCTTTCATGTGGCAGTGTTCACACTACAGGAATTGTTTATTCCCTCTAAATCCTTGACCCCTTCCTGCTTCCATTGCCATAGGATCTACCTTCTCTTCCATCGCAATACCACCTAAGGATTGTTGACTTTCATTTTGTATGACCATAGCATATGCCTGATTGAGAGCAGGCTTAGTTGTTTTCATTAAAATCTGCCTTTTAGCTTGATCATATGTATCATTCAAGCCATCCAAAAGTTGCATCAATATCTGTTGATGCAAGTGCTCTATATACTCCTTCGACTTCACACATCCACAGTTTGGGGATGGTACCAACACATCATACTCTGCCCATAGCTCCTTCAGTTTTGTGAAGTATACAGCTACAGAGTCAGATTCTTATGACAGTCATGAAATTCCTCTGTGCAATTGAAACATTCTCACTCGATCCACCTTATCAAAGTGTTCCTTTAGATCCTCCCACACAGCATGTGCATCTAATGCATAAATGATTCCACTCAATAAATCCTTTGAGACAGAGTTCATAATCCACGAATGCACTATTGCATTGCATGTCTCCCATTTCTCATGGAGATTAGCTTCAAATGATGCTTTAATGCATGTTCCATTGATGAACCCTAATTTGCACTTTGCCTTAAGTGCAAGCCGCATGGATCTACTCCACAAGCCATAATTCTCAGAACCTGTGAGTTGGATTGGAATCAACACTAATCCTGGAGTATCGGAAGGTTGTAAGAATAAAGGATGGGTGTAATCCATCTTCGTTTTCTCCGCCATTATTGAATAATCTCAAATTCAACTCAATTACACACAATCGAAGAAAATAAGGGAAAAACAGCAACAAAATTCTACAATTTCTGCAGAAATCTCACCGATCTCCTGAGAAATGAAGAACACAGTGATGACTTTCAATTTTGGAGAATATAAGAGAAGATCTTACTGGGTTGAGCTTCCCTAATCCTCCTACCTTTCTTATCTGGAAAATACAGACACAATCACACGATCAGTAATCTAATAATAAAATCCCCATTAAATAAAACACATTCAACAAATCCATCTGATAGTCAGCAACCATGATTCATTTGCCATGAAAAACTTTTTCTTTACCCTCTTTGATACTTTTGCAGCATTTTATAGTAAAATAAAGCACCACAAGCACAACATCACATTAGGAAAATTTCAATTTCTCCAAACTATTACCTTTATCTAGATACAAATTAACTCTTATTCTGAAAAATTTGTCCGGCAAGACAGCCAACTGGGATGAACAGAGTAACCTGCATTGGACGATTCACTGCATTCAAAATCCGTTTAAAAAAATTGTCAAGTATCAATTTCATTACGTTTATAATTTCTACTTACAGAATGAGTAATGTACCAAAACATAGGCTAATTACTAGAATTTTCTATGTACTGTACATGGACTCAATCAGAAGGGCGTATCCTTCTTTTGTGGGATGATAGGCTTATTTGAGTACAAGTTTGGCTTAGGCAAATGACTATAGTGTATGCTGTATTTGCTTTCTCCAGTAGGACGAATCCAGTAGTTAGTCTGTAGAATATTTAATTATATATCTTGTTTGTTAGCAGATGCTTCTAACTCTCTTCATTTTTTGGATAACCGAGAAATCCCCAAAGGTTAGCTGACCCACAATTCGAAAGAATAAGGACACACCTCTCTACCATTATCCACTTAAATACAAGGCATTTTTTGTCTGCAATTCTTACGGTCGATTGAGCCATTTCTCATGAAGAAAAGAAAAACTAGAATCAAACTGAAAATGTAATAGCCGCAAGTAGAATTCATATATTTATGTACCTAAAACCAGCTCTCGCTTCAGCACTTCGTTCAACTCCGCAAAAAAACACTCCATCCGCTACAACCGGTTTAAAACAGATACAGCAACCAATCATAACATACAATATATA